ATAAGAGTACATTCTTTTGAATGTCAACATAAGCTCATTGACAGGTTTCTCTCATGCCCCTCTATAATCTTTTGACTTTCTAATGACTTTTGCTGACAATAAATCGTCGATAAAGATTTGGGATTTCATTTTCAACTACCTTGATTATGGTGGGTACTTGAATTGATTTGAGAAAGACACGAGTTTGAACAAGTTTCTTATGACATGATTTTATTGCACGATTTAGAGTATGAAATAAGAGAATTTTTTCTTAAATGTGTGTAGTGCCTCATTTCTATAAGTAGGACCCTCACAACTATAATTAAGATCCTACTGACACAATTTCATATCCACCCTAGGGTACTTTAACTCTATGCTCATCTACCAACATTGTCAAACTCCGAGCCTACTTCCTAGACGTGGCCGATACTCGACAACCATTTTTTGTCCCCAAGCAAACCTCTGGGTTGGATGACTACATACCGGAATCACTCAAGCAATAATACTTAAAATAGAATAATTTAAACTCAAATTAAATATTCAACTCATTTATCTCTAAAATACTCAATAATATAAGTATAATAGCTTGCAAAAAAAAGGAAGGAAAAGTAGTACTGAAAGACTCGTCAACTTTATCTATCTATGATGTCTCTAATGTTTAAGATAGGTTTCGGGATAAGACCCATGAAACCTCCAAACAACTAAATTAAAAGTAAATGTGAAGTCCTCGGAATACAATGAGGTTCACTAAAAGCTAACTGGAGAGTAGAGTGATCTCAACGAAGCACATGTTGAGGATCCTGAACACTTTTATCTGCATCATAAAAGGATATAGGTCAAATGACATCATTACATTTGAATGTATGAGTATGCAATATAACTAAAAAAAATAAATGTATGAAAGGGATACAATAGACATTACATAAACTCAACTAATGTAATGAACTAAAGGAATGAAATTATTTGATCTTTACAAAAATATTACTTACCTCTGACACTCAAAATAATAAGTAAAATATAAAAATACACTTTAACTCTATTGGGACATTTTCTAAATGATAACCATCACAATGATACAACACCTTGTCCACGTTGCCTGAACTATCCTATATGGGATATAGGACACATCAACTAAGTAGATCCACTAAGATCTTCCAAAGGCACCAAGGATTCACCTAAAAAAGTATGATTTTGCACCCAATAATATATACTCTTGGTCAAATGTATAAAAACATTTCTCTTGCTCTAGTTTGAAATAATTTCTCAAGCAAGCCTTTTAAAAGAGTTATCTGCTTTGAAATATCTCTACAACTCATTGCTCATTTAGAAAACAATTTAATCTTTGTTCAAAGTAAAAATACTTTCTCTTGGTTGAGAAATACTAAGAAAAAAAACACTCTTTAAGAGGTAATTTCTTTGTACTTAATTTTTCTAAAAACTCTTTTAACTTTTCGGAATAAAAAGGGTCTTCTCTTTCTTCATATAAAAAAACATTTTGGATGTACTTAGTTCTCTCATACTTTTTCTTAAACTCCTCATTACTTCCTCAAAATTCAGTTTAAACAGTAATATTTTGTTTAAAAGATTCTCAATGAGAATTCAATGAATACTCAAGAATAAGGTTCATGCTAAAATTAGACATGAACGAATCAACTGAAGGATATCAATAACAATATAGAAAATTCAATACTCAGATTTCAAGAACTCATAACTCAACGACATTCCTCATCTCAAGAATACTCAAATCATAGAGTTCATGCTGAAATATAGACATGAACCAACAAACTCAAGAATCACAATGCATAACATATAGGAATTCAATAATTAGGAATAATATTTCCAAAAGAATCAGGAACTCAAGAGCTCAATATCAACTAATCTCTAGAAAGTAAAATTAAGTATAGAATCCCACATTACCCTTTTATTGATTTGAAAGTAAATGTATGGAATGTAGAAGAACTAGTCTAACACTATATTTGCAAGAACGGGGTTTTTTGGCAAAATTGACGTAACTCGAAGAACGCTTGAACCCTAGTTTTTCTTCTCTTGGAACCTCGTTTTAATATCTTGAAGTGTTAATTAACGTAAAAGAATTGATTAACACTTTTAAGACCTTATTAGGTGTAAAACACCGTGGTTTAGGCTTAGAATATGGGTTAAAATGTTGTAGTTTAAATTCCAAATGTATAGGACAAAGACCAAAATGACCCCAACTTTTAAATTTGACAAAATACCTTAAAAGGGAGGTTTCACAGACTATTAAGGTATCCTGGTCCGTGAAAATTCATGGGCCGTATTGATGGTCGCTGAACTTCACTTGGCCGACAATGCTTCTCTAAAACAGACATAACTTTTTTTTTCGAAACTCAAAATGAGGAAAAATTTGATGGTTTTTGAAGGATTCAAAGACCTTTATGTTAATAAGTCATGGACCACGTAATTCATTATGTGATGAGAGATATGAATGTTTGAAGTTGACTCAAAATATAAAAATTGATGGTGACTTGTATGGACCCCCAAAAGGGTCGTACAAGCCACCACGGGCCGCCTACGGTCCCGTCCAGGTGACCCCCTCCTCGTCAGCCTTTGATAGTTGGTCACATTGCCCTAAACGAGTCTTGCTCCCCTAAATGGTCCGTATAGAGAGTCGTGAAGGGTCCATTGTCAATTATGGGTTTGTGGACTTTTAAGTTAACCCTCTTTAGCCTTTCTCAATGTTTGAAGTGCTACATGAACAATTATAATTTTAAGAGTAGAGTTGTGTGGTGTTATAGAATGATTTATTATTCGTCTTGTATTTCAAACATACTTAGAACAAACCTTTGAAAATCTTTGTAAGACAACAAAGTTCAAGAACATTTTCACTACTAGAAAATTAAAGCTATAGCGCAAACAAGAATCATAAACAATTTTTTTTCAAAAAATATGCGAAATATTTTTCGTAAAGAAGAATTATTGTTAATATGTCTGTAAAGAATCTTACTGATTCAAACAAACTTTGCAGAAACACGAAGTTACCAAGTTTAATGAACCAGTGAAGAACAAAAGAATAGAAGAACTAAAATTAATTCAAAATTCTAAAATTTGTAATACACGTACCAGAATTTGGAAAATCTTTAATAGGAAAAAGATCAAGTCCATTGAAATCACAGTGTCCCCTAAGGAAATTATTCCCCTCTAGTATCCGGGGTTTGATTTTGAATATGACCTCCCAGAGTAAAATGATCTAAATCACCAGAGTATAGATACTAAAAACTCCTATGTCAAGGAACCACTCAACGACAATAAAGTACACTTAGAATACTAGATTTAATAGTTGAAGAAGAAGTCCATGTATTCTATATTAAAATGAGATGAAATCCCTTAATTTATAGAAAAAGGGTAGAATAAAAAGGTTCTTATTGTGCCTTACCGGAAATTCACAAACCTTTGGAAAAGTCACAATCTTTCAGAAAGGTCGTCATCTTTCATAACTGTCCATAAAAATCACAACTTTTCATAAAAGTCGCAACTTTTCATAAAAATCACAACTTTTCATAAAAGTCGCAACATTTCGTAAAAGTCACAACTCTTTATAAAAGTCGCAACTCTTCATTTTCCATTCACACCTTTTTAAAAACCAACATGATTCCAGTTTGATCTTAGAAAATTTTGATGTATTACAGTCACATCAGGTTATAATTGATACCTAAATTGAGTCAAGTAACTGTCATTTTTGTTTTGGAAATTCAATTTTCTATTATTTTTTTTGGTCGATGGCCCATTTTCCAAAAGGATAAATCAATAATGTTCTTAAATAAAGCCTTTATTTCCTCTTTTAATTAGAAACTAACCCCACTACATCCCTAATCATCCAATTACGTTTTAGACATCTACAAATAGCTTCCCACTTCTTCATTTCCTCCCATTTCTGTATGATTTGAATTTGTATTTGAATTTGAGTTTCTGTATGATTACTTGTTCGTTGAGGTCAAATGATCAAATTTCATCTCAATCTACGAGGATGAATGTATACTCTAAAACCCTTAATAAAATAAAGTTTTTGTTCCAATTTGATTCAGTTTATAGAGAATTCCCGATAATCCTTGAACTGCCAAACATGAATAATTGAGGGTTTAAGGAGTATGCATTGGTTTCTTGTGTTTTAAAAAATAAGTCAGTATTTTTTTCATGTTAAACGAATACTCCTATTTACTATATTAATATAACAATAAATCATTACAAACAGAGATGGCGACATTAATATTTGGCTTAAAGAACTACAAATCAAATTACATGACGACCTTTTGGGCCTAGAAAGAGTAATTCATTCGTTGTCTACTTTTGGAATTCGTAACAAAAATAATATTGGGACTATTAATTAGAAAGCCAGGGAAGGTGGTGAGGGGAAATGAGGAGTCCTTAATTAGGAAACCCTGCATTAGTTAGATTTATAGGCTTACCGAGTGGGTCTATCATGTTATATTTGTTGTCCTTTTTAGTGTTGACACTCAATTTTGTCCCTCTGCTAATTAATTATTTTTCAAGCTACTTGAATTTCAAACAATTTGAAGTAATTATTTTGAAAAAATAAAAAATACTTAGTTTTATGTTGATTTTCCTTTTTCTTTTCCTATAAAATATATTTCTATATACTTGAAATATATAGATTTATATAGTTTACAATATATATTTAGAAAATCATTTTACTAAAATGGTGTTTTAACTAAGTTAGAATTTTTTTATTAAAAAAAACTAATAATAATTAAAACCTTATGTCAAGATGATTGTTTTACTTTGTCTGAATTAAGAGAGTTAATAATTAATGGAAAGCATAATTCATTTTGTTTTTAATTTTTTTATCATCTTATCATTTTCATGACCAGGGGTATTTTTTCATTTTAAATCAAATTGGGCCTTAGCTTTTCAATGCAAACAAAAGAAAACCCAAATTCTTGGCCCAATTCACAAGACCTGGCCCAAATAACCCCTTCACTACTCTGCTCTCAAATTCCCTCATCATACAATAACACATCCGCAGCCTCAACAACGTCAACCCAGAACAAGAGCGAAACCAGAAACTCCAGCAGTACGTGACTCGTCCAAAACAGCCACGTAGTGCGCCCATCGAATCGAGTCTCGCACGTATTTCTCTCCCTCGACCTGATCCTCTTGAAAGTTGGAGGACAAGGCCAGGTGTCTCAATCTCCTTCCAAGCTCGTTCTTGGCTGAAAATTGGACGACTCTCCCTTCTTTTCTATTTGAAAATAGTACGAATTCGTACACCCTCCAGCTCACCCACCCTTATCTTTGCTGATTTTTGAATTTGGGATTGTCCCACATAGTGTCTAACAAGAAATTCCCCCAAATCTCTCTTATATAAATCCCTTTCTTTTCACTGTTCAGAGGAGGATTTTCGGAGACCAAAGAATACCCAAAAACTTTTGGGAATTCTTGGTTCCACAATTCAAATTTTAAAACGTTTTGTGGCTTTTTGAGTTAAATAGGTGGAATTGTTTCCAAACTCGTTGTCCCGATTTGCTGCTCAGCACAATGTAATCATGTATATTTTCCTTCTTGCTAGTTTAATTTCATTTTCTCTGATTAGATTTTGCATTATGAAGAGTTTTCGTCTGCATATTTTTTAGTTATCTTGTTGGCTTCTTGTCTTCATAATATGATTGGTAGTTTAGCGTTTTCAATATATTAGATTGCCTGTGTTTGATTATATCCACAAAAACTTGCAGGTTTTCTTCAACTCTATTGGAAAATTAGAATACCCCTGTTGTTTAATTGTCAATATTTACAGTAAGTTGAAATTAGAATACCCCTTTTGTTTGATTGTCAATATTCACAGTAAGTTGTGGATGATTAATGCTCATGTTTTTCATTTTCATCTCAGAACATGCTCTGTAGCTTTAAAAAAAAATAATCCTTTCATTTCATGGTCTCGCCTCTTTCACTTCCCACATTATTTTATCCCTATGATGGCATTATTCTATCTCCTTATTTGTGAAATTTGGTTTGAGATGATTAGCTTTTCGTAGTTGTGTTACTTCTATGTCTGTTGTTTAAATTATAGTTGGACTGGTATCATAGGGATCATCTCTATTTCACTCTCCTGTTACGTGAGTCTGGTCCATAAAAATGAAAAATAAAATTGTTTCCTTACAAAGATGTTTTGAGAAGCATGGTTGGGTATTTTACATCATGTTTGTGCTTTCTTTCACCATTGGTTTCATAAGATATTGTCGGCTATTCATCCTGCTTGCTTAAGTGGTAGTTCTGACCAATTTATTGTGCTTACATTTAAGTGTTAGTTGGGTGTAAATGGAGCCTGTAGCAGCTTATTTGGACTGTTATACTTACTGTTTGAATTAGTTTTCTGGTTGTTTCATTGTTTGTTTAAATTATGATCAGTTGGCGACTGAAAGGGTGCAAAACTCTATGTTCAATAACCTTTGTGCCTCTTCCGTGTAATTGTTTAAGTTAGAGTATGACATTCATAATTATTTCCATTGCACTTCGTTACTTGCTCATATTTCTTAGCAACACCATGTAGTTAGGATGACTACGGTTAAATTCCTTTATTAGTTTTAAGAAATCATATTTTATTACTTTAAAAATATTGTTCACTGTGTTTTGGATGTTTTACATGATGATAACTAGATCGTTAATTTGACATGATATTATTCACATTGAGGTTCTTATTTTACTCTTTTCTTTTCCTCCTTTTGCATGAACACGCTTTCCGTGAATGAATCCAATGGACTCCCCTCTCTTGCATTTTCCTCTTTTTGAGTCAACCTTCTTCGGAGTTGTGAAAGGGAGCTAATATTATTGATTTAGACACCCAAAAATACAGCAGCAGCAGTAGCCTAAATGGCTAAAAGAATAGCATTTTATCGTACTTGAAAAGTCCCAAAAATTGCTCTAATTGAGGCAGAGTTACGATAACCTCAAAAGGCTGAAAATGAGGAGCAAATTTGGGTTAAAATTCCTAATTAATCAAGCAGTAGCAGCAGCCTTAGAAAGGCTAATTTTTTTTTTAAAGTTTTGGACTTTCAAAAGTCCAAGCTAAACGGCAGCGGCATCAACCTGAAGGGCTGGGACTTGGGGGTGAAATAAAATTTCAGCCACCCCCTCGTTTTCTTATTCTCTTATTTTCCTTGATATTAGTATATTTTCTTTATTATATTTGATTGTCAAAAACCAACAACTTTAAAATTTTCTTCTTGACATAGAAAAAATTCCCACGGAGCTCCTCGAGTTTAGTTTATCAAATCTTTCTTTTGTATCTTACAATTGGTGGCATTTCAAATTTTCATTTATTCTTCAAACCCTTTTTATGTTTGATAATTTCAGCTTATGGAATGACTTGAGAACATTTTGTGTTCTTTCATAGTTGATAAAAAGCTTTGAATCCATGTTTTGAATTTGAATTAACAATTTAATTCCTTTTTTGAGCTGAATGAAATTGTCATGTTTCTTAAAATATATATATAAAAATAAGTTGTCTTATAATTTAACTTAAGACTTTGTATGAATGACTTTAGGTTTCTATATCCTTTCATAGTTGTTAAACAAAGTTTCTTAATCCATAATTAGGAGTTTTGAATTATTCATATTGGTTCAAAACATGAACATGGGTAAAAGTTTAAGTTAGGCAATTTGAGCTTCAAGACTAATTTGAGAATTATCCAATATCCTTTCATAGTTAGTATTTAGTTTTCAAATTCATGCTTAAGTTATTGTGTTGATTTTTCAACTGTAAAACTTTAGCTCGGATAAAATGTTAAGTAGAAATTATTATTTTACAGTATAACATTTGACTTATTTCATACTTGGAATAAGAGTTGTCAATATGGGATAGCCCACACCATCCGAGCTAATCCATATAGGCTTTGACATTTTACGGGTCAGGCCGGGCTAGCCCATTTTTGGCGTGGGGCAAAAATGGTCGACCCAACCCACAAGTACGTGGCTTGACGGGCCAGGCAACTTTTTTTAAAAAAATATATATTTTTATATAGTTATTAAATTAAGATTCAAAATATAATTTAAAATATTATAATAAATTTTGACAAAACAATATTACTTGATGTTAATGTTTGTACTTGTTAATTATATCAAAATAAAATTATTTTTATAATATTTATAGAGATAATTTCAGAGACCTCCATGTTTCGCTCTTTAATACTCACCTCCCCTTTGTTTTACGATATTACGTCTACCTCCCTTATTTTCATTTACTTGTAACCATTCTTTAAAACTATTTAAAATAAATATAAATTAATATAGATTTGACAATTTTACTCTTTTTTAGATAAATTTCTTCTAAATAAATATTATATAAAAAATAATTTATTTAACAAATACTTAAATAATAAATTAATACAAAGACTTATTTTTTTTAATCCAACAAAGATCAATGTTTTCAACTAAGCTAACCCACATTTTCACCAAATATTAACTTTTTATCTCTATTTCACCTTTACCAATTCACGTAAATTTTTTCCCCATAACCCATCATTCTGCGGCAACAATTTCTTCAAATAAAAGACAAAATTGAACTACCCAAGAAAGAAATTCGATAAGAACGATAAGATTTTATTTTAGTTAAACATTTACATAAGCTAAGAAGAAACATGATCCAACGAATAAAGATAAATCATTGAAAATTAGACCTAAACATTCATATATAAGGGTAAATTTATCAAATGTAAATTAATTTATATTTATTTAAATAGGTTTAAAGAATGGTTACAAGAAAATAAAAATAAGGGAGGTAGAATAATATCGTAAACCACAGGAATATGAGTGTTATAGAGCGAAGCCTGGAGGGAGGTCTCTGAAATTATCTTGAATTATAAAAAAAAATATATAAATAAAAATATTAACCTAATTATTTTTAATTTGGACTCTCTTTAATTTTAAATTTTAATATTATATTAAAAAAATTTAATTAATTATTATTGGCCCACGGGCCTACCCTACATATATTTCTCAAGCCCGTCAAATCAACAGGTTTATTCAGGCCGGGCTAAAAAGCTCTTTTATTAAATAGGCTACAAATATCTAAGTCCAACCATATTAAATCCCGGTTTAGGCCAGGCCGGCCCAACGGGTCTAGCCCATATTTACGGCTCTACTTCGAATAAGATTAGTGTACAAGTGTCAAAAAAATGTAGTTATTTTAAAACAATAATTTTTTTTACATGTAATCTATGTTTTCTTTATAAAATTAGCCAAACATTCAAATTCGTCGGTAAATCACGTGTTTGCGGATTCTCTAATATGACTAGACCTTTCCTTAGAGAATTAATTGAACCCTTACCCAAAACTCTGGTTTATTTAAATGTTTTTTCTTAAAAAATTCATTTCAAATGGTTTTCTTAATTTTTACCTAAAAATTAAGTGGCGACTCCCAAGTTACAAATTATCCAAAAAAAAAACTTTAACAAAAATTGCCAAAGTTGCGAAATCGACTTCGAACGTTTCATTTTTCGAAATCGGGTCGAAACATTTAGTTGTTTTCTTTTTGAATGTTAGGCTAAGTGTGGGTTGGGCCATGCTCACACAAGTGTAAAGATGTGTAATTATTTTTAGGTTTTTTAATAAAACACGAAATTAGCCTAAAGGGGTCTCTTTATTTAATATCAAAATTTTTAGCACAAATAACGTTGGGTTTCTGTTTGCTATCAAAGTTTTGAACACAAATAATGTGTCTTTTTACATGCTTTTGGAGTTTTAATAAATATACCATATATTTTCTTTGTCTTCTTCTAGAGTTTTGAACACTAATAATTTAGGGTCTCTTTCTCTGCTATCAAATTTTTTAATACAAAAAATGTGAGGTTTTTGTTTGCTTTTGAAGTTATAACACAAAAGATGTGGCTCTTTGCTTGCTTTCGGAGTTCTTAACACAGATAATGTGAATTATCTTTATCTGCTTCTAGAGTATAACATTGATAATGTGGGGGCTCTTTTTCAGCTTTAGGTATTATTAACTCAATAAAAGTGGAGTCTATCTAGTTTGGTAAAAAATATGATCTTCATTAGCTTATGGTTTAACGTTTCAGATTTCAATGGTTTAGTTGTTGTAAAATGGAAACATTAAATTTGCAAGTTTTTAAAAAATAAAATTTGTAGAATAAATTGTATTGAGTATCATTACATTTTAGAATTTGATATAGTACTAAATTTCTACACGTGCGTTGAACATGAATGCCTAATAATATAATAAACAATAATTTAAAACAATTTTTTTTGGGTAAATAATTTTACATATATGATGAAATAAAGTACAAGTTTTAATGAAAGATCATGGTGGATTGTCGTATTGTTACTCATTTGTTGAGGTCAAAATTATTGAATTTTTTCCGAACCTACAAGGATGAATTTTACACTTACACCCATTGTAAAATAAAATTCTTTTTCATTTTATAGAAAATACACAAAAATCGTTGAACCGTCAAAGGTGGATAGTTTAAAATTTTGAAAGTGGGAGTAGGGGTTCTAGTATGTCCCAAAAAAAACTTTTTACTCTTTTATTAAAAACTACTCCAATTTATTTATTTATATAATATAATGTATCAGTTAAAAATTAAAGTGACCACATAAGTATTAGCATTGTTCTAGTCTACGTAAGCTTCCATAGTTTCTAAAATAAATAATGTGACTCTTTGCTTACTATTGATGTTTTTAACAAAAATAGCATGTGTGTTTCTTAGTTTGGTTCTACAGTTTCTAATACTGACAATATGAGTTATCTTAATCTGCTTTTGATTTCTTACTACAAATAAAAAGTTCGGGCTCTTCATTCTGCTCGTAAACTTTTTAACACAAATGATGTGTCTCTGTACTTGCTTTTGATTAATACAAAGAATACGGGTTCTCTTTGTCTGCTTTCGAAGCTTCTAACACTGATAACGGGAGGTTTCTATCTTCAAAGTTTTTAATATAAAAAACGCGGGGTGCATCTGATTCTCAAAAAAGGATCTTAGTATAAATGTGACTCTAAGATATCATGCATAGGTTGTGGGTGGGTTGGTGGGGAGAGGTACTAATGCATTTTAGGGTGTGGGAGGGTGGGTGGGGGGATGTACTTATGCATTTTATAAGATTTGCAAGTTTTTTTAAAAAATAAATCTCGTAAAATTAATTGTATAGAATATTTTGATATTTAAGCATTTAATATATTACTAGTTCTGAGCAACCGGACTCCTCCACCAGAGACTTTCGGTCTGGAGCTCATTCCCGGTGCATGAATCGAAGCTGCATTGCACATGTATGCATAATAATATAATGCATGTTTTTATAAATAATAGCAATATTATTACATAAAGTACTTTTGAGGAAATTCATTTACATATATGAAGAAATAATATTTAAATTTTAAATAATGGCCAATGTGGATTATTGTAGGGTTACTTGTTTGTTGAGATGAAAGTCGCTGAATTCATCTAAACCTCAAGGATTATTAAAGTTCTCAATCCGATTTGATTCAATTTATAGATAGTAAAATAAAATTCCTAAATGTCAAAATTTGATAGTTTGTGTTTTTAGGTGTTGTGGTTGTGATTGTGGTGAAAGTAGGGGTGTAGTGTGGTGGTGGTGGTGGGGTTCTAGTTTTTTTTTAAAAATAACTCCAAGCTTTTTTCAAGCTAAACAACTAATCATATTCCCTACATTTTATAATACTATTGATCGTTACAAACATAGGTGGTCGCATTAATACTAGCATGAGACTATTCTGGCTGAAAGAATTAAAATCCCAAATTACATTACAACTTTTAAGACTAGTAAAAGTTTCTTTGTGTGTTTTGAAATTTTTAACACAAATTATGTGGGGTCTCTTTGTCTGGTTTCAGAATTTTAGCTCAAATAATATGGGGTTTCTTTCTGCTTTCTAAGTGTACAGTACAATTAATGTTGCTCTAACTTGCTTTCAGAATTTTTAACAAAAATAATGTGGGTTCTCTTTATCTGCTTTCAAAATTTCTAGTACTAGTAAAATGGAATTGGGTGTCTTTGTCTAGTTCTAGAGTTTTTAACACAATTGTTAGGTCTGTCTCTGCTTATAAAGTTTTTAACACAAATAATTTGGTTGTTTGCTTGTTTTTTATGATAAAGAAAGCTCAGAATATTATAATAATAAAAAGAAGACAAGAAGTATAAGATAGAGGAGAGAAATTTTCTTATTCAAGTGTGTCTTTCAAATGGTGAGTGATTCTCTATTTATAGTGTTGAGATATCAC